TGCATGCTCTGTGTGTCAGCAATAGTCAGCAGAAACAGCCTGCAGCCAGCAGAAGATAATAAAAACCCCCGGCCCACTCTGAACCTTTCAGATACCATCTCACACCTGTCAGAATAGCTATCATCAACAAATCAACAAACAACATGTGTTGGTGAGGATGTGGAGAAAGGAACCCTCCTTCACTGCTGGTGGGAATGCAGAATGGTGCATCCATTGTGGAAAACGGTATAGCATTTTCTCAAAAATTTAAAAATGGAACTGCCATTTGACCCAGTAACACCACTTCCAGGAATATATCCCAAGAAAACAGAAACACCAATCAGAAAGGATATATGCATGCCTATGTTCATAGCAGCACAATTTACAATAGCTAAGATATGGAAATAGCCTAAATGCCCATCAGCAGATGAGTGGTTAAAAACCTATGGTACCTCTACACAATGCAATAAATACTACGCTGCTGTAAAAAAGAAGGAATTCTTACCATTTGCAGCAGCATGGATGGTACTGGAGAGCATTATGCTAAGCAAAAGAAGTCAGTCAGGGAAAGATAAATATCACATGATCTCACTCATTGGTGGAATATAATGAACAACATAAACTGATGAACAAGGACTGATCCAGAGATGGAGCGGCATTGATTGGACTGTCGGGTCTTGGAGGGAAGGTAGGGGAGGGTGGGGGTAAGGGGAAATGATCAACCAAAGGACTTATATGCAAGCATATAGGCCTAACCAATGGACATGGACAACGGTGTGTGTGTGTGTGTGTGTATGTGAGGGCATGAGCGGGGGAGGGGGTAGAGGGTAACGTGGGGATAAGGACACATATGTAATATCTTAATCAATACAAAATATATTAAAAAAATATGTCACAAAAGGATCCCAGAAGTATGCTTTAACTAATTAATAATCTCCAAGGGTGTTGATAAAATTTAATTACTGTTATACAGCTTATAATTTAACTAGAGGCCTGGGGCACAAAATTCATACACGGGTAAGGTCCCTAGGCCTGGCTGGCGATCAGGGCCAATCTTCAGGGTAACTGGTGGGGCGACCCCCCCTGGCACCCGCCTTGGTTGGCCTGGCGCTGCCCACTTGCTGGCCCTGCTCCCCGCCGCCACTGCAGGTCGGGGCCTGTGGGCTGGGGGAAGTTCCTGCGTTGAGTGTCTGCTCTCTGGTGGTCAGTGTG